GTCTGGTTCCCGAATTCAAAAAATGCCGAAAATTCACCTCGAGTCAGTGGAAACCGAGAAAGACGGAGCATTGAAAAGAAGGCTCTGAAGACGCACTCAAACAGTCTGTTTGTGCACCGTTTCACCCACTTTCCAAGTCCTCCCTTGGCGCGGATCCCCCCTGACCCCCCGCAAGCGGGGGGAACCACATCCGCGTCCACACAGTACGGACAAGGAAAGTGGGTGACATGGGGACGCACAAACAGTGACTGAAAAGTGGACTTCCTTCAAAAAACACTCGCGGCAAATATTATTTTTTGGTAAAGGTGGTGGTGGTGGTCAATGTAGGTCCCAAAAAATTATTTTTCACAAATAATTTTGTCAATTTAAAACCAATGTAACATAACAAAAAATGAATATTTAAACGATTTGTTTTGCACTCGATTGTAAATGATGGCTCTTCCATCTTTCGATACCACATTTTTATTTCCAAACAACAATTTCAACCCATTATCACATCTATTGACTATTCACAAAGAAAAGAGGAATATAATGAAGCCCGCTCTTTCAAAAGAATACATGAGAGAAAAAGCAAAAAAGTCTTTTAATGTTTTTTTAAAATACCCCCAAACAATAAACGACTTACTTGAAAAATATGGGAAGAAGAGGAATTTAAAAATATACCTTTTGCACGTGAACAAATACATTTTATGTTTAAAGACTTCAAACTTCAAAAACGAATAATTGCAGCTTTAATGGGAGTTAAAAGAGAGACGATTAAATACTCAATTAAGACGTATAGTTGAAGTAAAAAAGTCGGGACCAAAACCAAAAAATAACACATTTTGCAGATAAGTTGATCAAAAGATGGATTAGACACTGTAAATCAAAAGGTATTGCGTGTACTGTAACAGGTATATCACGTTATTTAACAAAGAAGAATCCAAATTTTAATATGACGAGAAGAGGGATAAGAAAACATATGAAAAAGTTTAATTACAAACTAGTCATAGCAAAAGCGGAAGATTATGATCGAGTTGCTTAAAAAATAGAACATTTGCGTCTGAATACTAGTTATATAATTAAATATAATGGTACACCATCTGCTCTTTGGTTTAATATCGATGAAATGGGATCAAATGATTGGGCCGACCACAAGAGCCTTTATGTGTATCAAGAAAACGACTCTTTTGGAGAACAATGTCACGCTTGTTCACGTTCTTCAAAACATGCAACTGTTATTGTTGCAATTTGTGCTGATGGTTCTGCTCTTTCTTTTGGAGTGGTCATCACACAAGAACGTTATTATTCAGTTGTCAAAGAGAAGTTTCCAACCAGTATCGTGTATACAACAAACAATGGATTTGTCACAAAACAACTTTTCAAACATTGGATATCCAAAATCATCAAAGAAATTGTATCAAAAAGAATTTTGGTTGGACTTGAAGGTTATTGGGCTATAATAACAATGGATAATTTTTCAGGACACATAGACGAAGAAATGATGAGTTGGTTCGAAGACAATCAAATATTAGTACATACCTTTAGTCCACACTCTAGTCACCTCGTAGCCCCTCTTGATCTGTGTTACTTTGGAGCCGTCAAAAAAGTGACAAACACTTTGAAAACAATAGTAAAAACAGGCAACCCAATAATAGTTGACTTAGACCAACACTCGATTCAACAAAACGTTGTTTCCCAGAACACAGGAGACTTGATGGATGAATCTGATAATGAAATGAATGAAATATTTAATGAATTTGTTTGTGATGATGATGAAAATATTTTAA